TATTACACCAAGTAAGATTAAGTATTGAGCCAAGAATATTTAGATCTCTTCTGGCTAGAGTTGGAGGAAACAATTCCATCAGAGATATGCCTCCACTTTGTGATAGAGTCCGACCATGCTTAATTGATGCTTCTTCCTCATTATCTCATCCCCTTTGGGCACATACCATTTTAAGAAGCTGGAAGTGGTGCTTAGCACACTGGGGGACTCTGCTTTAGTTCTATTAATATTTCTTTGAACCAACAGGATGGTGCCCCCAGCAGCTCCTCGTATTCCCCTCAAACAGGTAAAATTTTGCTTTCTGAAGAGGAAGAGAAGGCCTGTGGAGTTTTGGGTTGTCTACATCTGGAGACTAGAACTTCAGAAAGAGCATAATTGTCAGCACTGATTTATTTAGTGATTAAAGGCATCCATTAGGCCTTGTTAAATGTTGGTGAAAGGCTGGACTGTAAATGTGTGGCCCTGCATTCTTAGGCCTTTGGTGTCAAGGAGGGGTTAGTCACTAATACTATCAAATGACTCATTTCATTTCAACAGACTTTTGTGGAATGAATGAATTTAAATGGCACCTGGCTAAGGACTATCCATGGACCTTAACAGGAATCCCATATTTTACCAGGGAATGTAATAGCAGTGGAATGAAAAAAGAAATTGTCCTGCTTCCCCAAACTAACATTTTGAACAAGTATACATTTTCTTTTCAAACTTACTTTTGCCAAGGAGAATAAATTTGAAATGACTGTGGGGCAAAGCATTTAAAAAAAAGTTCCTGGTCTCTTCAGTTTCCTAAAGGGACATCTTTAATGGTGACACGTTGGTGCCTCTGCACATCCATTAGCCTCTCATCCACGGGGCAATTTCCTTTGTCTTTCGTTATTTGGTTTACATCATGGCCTCGCTCCGAAGCTCCTGGAGATCATTTACTACTTCTGGAATTCATAAATGCTGGATGTTTTGAAGACTTTTTGTAAATTGCAGTGCCATAAAGGGGCAAGGACTCTGGTTTCAATCATTTGTATTTTCTTGGGACGGAACCAGACCCCCGCCCACCCCTAGCACACACACCGTGGGGGATGACCTCACCCACTTAGGACTGAGATACAAGTCCAGGGATTTTTGTCTGTTGGATATTGTCTTAACGGGCTTCAGACAAGGGAGCAATTTTGATATTTTTCTTTGCCTTGTGACTTTTGGAGATCATCAGCTACCAGATTGAATTTCTTGTTTTATAAACTCCTCATTTGTAGGACTGAGGTTTTGTCTCTGCATTTCCTACAGAAGTGGTTCTCAGTCCTGATGGCACATTTTAATTACCTGTAGAGGTCAGAAATTTTATAAGCCACACCTTCAGAGATTCTAATTCAATCAGTCTGAAACCCCACTGGTTGCTGAAAAACCCTCCCTAGTGAGGGTTGAGTGTAACATACTTTGTCTACAGTGATTAGGACAATTCCCTGTGAGGGGCGGCAGATGTGTCTGGGTCCTGGCTCTGTGTTATAGGGTGTAATTTCCATAAAAAGGAGAAGTACCATGTTTCCTGTCCTGCCTAATGAAGGGTGGAGCTGGATGGTGGGAAGACTTGGAGGAGACATGAGGAGAAGACACATGGACAGGAGACTTGTGAAGAAGTCAAGCTTGGGCCTTCCCGGTGGCGCAGCGCGTTGAGCGCAGTGCTGTGAAGCTGTCTGCAGCCTTTGCAGCACGGGTTCTATTCCTGGCTGGCCAGGGAGAGTCCCACATGGCGTGGCAGACCTTTCTTGCCGCGCCCACTGCTCCCCTCAGCAGTGTATTTCGTGTATCTTCCTGTTCTGCTCCCTGCTTTGTCTCTGGTGAATCCTCTCACCCTCCTGCACCTCTGGCCTGTACCCCAGCTCTTGTATAAAAATAAATAAATCTTAAAAAAAAAATAGAAGTCAAGCTTGCTTCTTGGCTTTGGACTTGCACCATGGACTTGGGGGACATGGAAGGAGACACATGGAGTCGAGACATGTAGAGACACTTGAAAGAAACCTGGGTGAGAGGCTAACAATGACAGCTTTTAACTTAATTTGTACTCTGATTTTGTTCCTTTTGTCCCAGACTTGCCTGGCCTCTTCTGCCCCTTTTCTGTGGTTCCCTATCAGAAGGCGCCTTAGACTTGTGGCAGGCTTTGGGGCCTTAGCGGCCCTGCTTTGGGCCAACCCTGATTGGCTGGACATTTACCCACGAGGGAATGGGGTAACTTAGGTGTTTTATTGGGGAACTGTCATCATCTCTTTCTATGCATATTAATTCTATTAAAGTTCTTTGCTATCATAGATCTTATATACTAAGAATACGCTCTGTCTTTAGGCTGCAGACGGCAGAACCCATTGAGAACATGCAGGTCTGGGGGTCCTGGGCTGTCCCTCAGTTCTGCACTCTAACAGTCATAGGGCCCTTCCTTCCTATCATCCTGGCATCATGAGGCTTGTGCTGAAAGAATGACACACCCTTCCCTCACTGGGGGTTAAAACGACCCTGTTTTCTTGGTGCTAACTGAAGGGAGCTTTCCCACGAGTGGATGTGCTCATGGCCAGGACGTCAGTGAGGATGGTGACGCCCTGCTCAGACCGCCCACATCAGCAAGGCTGCTCACACTGAGAGTCCACTCAGTCCTGGGCTGGACCCAGGCAGGGGTGTTTCATTCAGGTCCTGCTTTACTCCCACACTCCTGGCTATAACTGGAGCTGCATGCAGTGCCTGTGCATGCAGAGTCGCTCTGACCCTGCCTGGCTCACAGGCACATCTCAACCCTCGTTTGTGTTCCTGTACACGTCCACCCTGACAGCCAGGCCCTCTGAGGCTAGGGGGAGCAGCCTCATGGGTAGCCACCGAGCACCTGCCCTGGGTCTGAGCAGTGGGTGATGCCCCTTCCTAATGCGTGACCTAAGGTCTGAATTGCTATGTAATGCCTTTCTTTATGTCCTCTGAGAGACAGAAAATAATGAACACCCTCTTTAGAATAGTTACCCTATTGGGACGTACTGGTCTCTCATCTTGGGATAAACACACCAATACTTTTAACTGGGTTATCTCCTCTCAGGCTGTGAAGTGCCAAACCATACACACTGTTTCAGCAAAAGGGCAATCGAGGACAACTTATTTTATAGGTGGGAAAATGAACAGAGTTTTGATTATGTGTAGCCATAACAACTGAAAGGAGCATTGAAATGAGGACTCTCCTTTCCATGAAGGGGTGGGTGGGGGCAGTAAAGTGCACTACTAAAGAAAACTGGGCTGCAGGGAAAAACAGATTTCTGTTTCATGACTCTCCATTTTCATATCTAGAATATAGGAGAACAAGAGTACTCGACCCCTCAGGATGCTGCGAGGTGTATAATAAATACAGGAGAAAGCTGGCATGGGTTTGGCATCTAAGAGGCTCTTGTTAAGAGGTGGCATGTCCCTGCGCTGTATCTGCGCGCTCACACATAGCATGAAGTCAGCAGCTCTGGGAGGTCCTTTGCCAAGGCTCAGACATAGCCCAGCAAAGGTCCCCTGAGATAGCTTCTGGGACCATATGTTTCTGTAGGGCCCGACAGCAATTACGCTAAAGCCGGACCCTGCAGACTGGTTTCTGTGCAAGATGCATGCTCTGGAGAATAAACCATAAGGTCGCAAGTACATTCTCAGGCCACGCACGCATGGCTGTGCAACAGGGGCAGGGGCTGCCCTAGAGAGCAGCACACAGCCCTTCACATCGTGATTTCTGAAATAGCTGAAGTGCTGGGAACATTGTCTCCCTTGTAATGCAGTGAGGTGATCCTAAGCAGAGTGTTTAGCCCAATGCTTGATGTGTACTAAGTACTCCACAAATGTTAGCAGATCTTAATAACAATAAACTAGGTTTTCGGGTGAGAGTACTTCCAAATGTCCTTCCTCCAACTCCAGGGGCAGATGAAGAGGCTCTGGATTAGGGCCAGTCTATGGGAAGTCTGTGCCACCTACTTCCATCTGTAAAGTATTTATTTTTGTATTCATTCACTTAGTACACATTCATTGAGCACCAGTTACATGTGTAGCCCTGTCCTCCGCACACCATCCTTTGACCTCTGGCATGGCTATGCACAGGGCTGGCCCACACAGTATCATAGTATTGTACCAAGAAAACCCACATCCCAACATAACTGCTCCATCTGCCCTGACAAAGCTTGGGAGTTCGGAGGAATGCTGATGACGGCACCCTGCATGCCAGTGTGTGGAATCTGGAGTTGAGCAGGAGTGTACTTTACAGATAAGGAAACAGAGGCCAGAAAAGGGAATTCTTGCCCAAGTTCAAACAGTAATTTAGAGGCTGTCTGAGGCTAAAATCTGGTTCCCCGATTAGTTTAGCAAAGACTTTATCCAGCAGACCCATTGTCTCTGTTGAGTGGGATAACTAGTCTTTATGTTTTCATCCACACGTAGGTGTTTTCCTTTCTGAAGAGTTGCGTATCAAGGTTAAATGAAATAGCTCTTGAATAACTCTAGAACAGTGGTTCTCAATTCTGTATTAGATCATCTGGAAAGCATTTCAAAAATACTGATATTGAGCCCCACCCCAGACCAATTAAATAAGTATTTGTGGGGGTGGGCCAGGGCCCTTACTGATTTTTTTAAAGTTCTCCAGGTGTTTCTAACACATATTTGGGGCTCCATAGACTAACACAGTCAGCAATCTAGAGAACATGCTTCTCATGCACATTTGAATTATCTGTGGATTTTGTTAAAATGCAGATTCTGATTTAGCAGGTCAAATGAGCCTAGAGGTTCCCATTGCTGACCAGCTTCCAGTTGCTGTTAATGCTGCCAGTCTTGGGACGACCCTGCGAGTGACAGCTCTGGGCCTCTGGTTATCCACTGGTCATCCTCTCCTCATCTCTACCCTTTGGGTCTGCGTTATTAGGTCTTGTCAATTCCGCCCCATAGCTCCCTACAGCCCCTATTCTCTTGAAAGGCAGGTCCCAACGTTTCCTTCTTTGTCCGCCCACATCATTCCCCTTCCAGGCATGTTCTCTGAGGGAGTGCCTCCTGTGGGTGCTTTCTCATTCCACTCGCCCCTGCTCAAGCCGTTCTTACTCCGCAGGAACCTGCGCGTCCTCGACCTATCTTTAAGAGACCACTGCATCACCTATGACGATTGTCTGGGAACAACATGTCCTTCTGATTCGTTTCTGTGTTTCCAGTTTGCAGCGCCCAATTCGGAGCCCAGCAAACTCTCAGTAGAGTGAATTTAACAAACAAAAACCCAACTCTGGACGAAGACGGCCAAAGACTCAGTTGTTCTAACGATCAAAATAAACATTCCTTCGAGATTATGCATCGAGTTTTAAACTCCCCACTGGAGAAAAAAAGGTTGATCAACTCTAACAAAGTAAGTACTTATTTCCTGTCTGGGTTGGGTGGTTTATTATGGGCTGAGGAGGCGACAAGACGAGCCCGAGGATGGATGCCGGCACAAGTTTGGAGGTCTGCTTTCAACTCTGGGCTCGTCCCAGCAGGGGAAAGGCTAGCGCTCTGGGACAGGGTGGGGACTGCCCAGGGGGGTCCTTCCGGGGCCATGGAAACGGTGGGGAGCTCGGGCCAGCAGGCAGGAGTTGGGCGTTGTGAACTAACTTGGCGCGCAGGGAGGCGCCGTGCGTCGCAGCCGTTCAGGTTTCCAGCTCGCCGGGCGCCCACAAGGGCCGCAGGCTTGGGGGAGGGGGCGGGGGAGAGGGAGGGCAGGTCCAGAGCCGAGGGGCGGAGGAGGGGGGAAACCGAAGGAAATGAGACAACCTTTTCCTCCCACTGACTCGGGCTTCTCCTGCGTCTGCGGGGCGCGGCGCGGCCTCCAGTGAGCACCGAGGCCGGACCCCGCGCCTCGCGCCCCACGCCGGCCCCGCGGGCTCCTCCTCTGGGGTTTCTCTCGGAAGCGCCAGGCTAACCCAAGCTGGGGGCGCCGCTCGGTCGCGTCCTGCCCTCGGCGATCCGGACGGGTCCCCGGCGCGCCCCGCGCACCCCGACTGCAGCCCCCGGAAGTGCGCACCGGCGGCCCCGGGAAGGTAAGCGCGCCGGAGAGCTCGCCCCGCGCGCGCGGGGGCGCCGGGCATCCCCGGCGGGGCCCGGCCTCCCCGGAGCAACCCCTCTTCGGAAACGCCCAGAGCACTTCTGACCTGAAGCTGCGGCTTTGTTTCCGACCCCTGCCCAGGTGTTGTAGGTAGGGCCCCCCGAGAACCCTGCTTCCCAGCGCTTTCTTTTTGCTTCTTCTTACCCCTAAGTTCCTGTTGCTCTCCCCTCCTCTCCCCCTCCTTTCCCCCCACTCCCGGCTGCTTTTTCTGGATCCAAAAACTCTCAGCCGCCTCTGCAGCCTAACTTCGGAGAGCGAGTGCTCCCCAAATCTCGGCGCCTCTCAGAGAAGGCACTGAGCGGCTCGGCCCGCCGCAGGCACCGGCTTTGACTCCGGGCCTGTTGGGTGCGGAACTGCCTGAAATTTCCGTGGCGCACGTGGACCTCATACCTGACTCCCTTCGGAAGCACCGAGCTAGCTGCGCGCTTTTGGCGACCCCCCAGGACCCCGAAATTGAAGTGAAAGGCTGTTGGCGCCCCCTAAAGCCGCAGTGGGACGCTCTGCTGGTGGAGCGGAGCGCAGTCGACCCCACTTCTTGGTCCTGGGTTCCCAGGGATGGGGGTTGTGGGGGAGGACGCGGGAGTCGAGGGGGGGAAGGTTTGGGAGTGTGGGAGGACGTGGATGCGGTCGGTACTGGAAGAACGCGACTCTTGGAGGTAATGAGGGTGCCTCTGAAGGAGAGGAGGGCCAACCACATTGCTTTTATTAGTTTTCTGACTTCTCACATCAAGCCTCAGAGGAGAAATTTATATGCCCATCTTATAAATGGGCAAAATGAGAAGCAGAGAGATTAAATAACCGGTCCAGGGCCACACAGCTGGGAAGCGTTCATACCAGTGGTTTGTACCACATTCCACTTCCAGTTCTACAGAGGGTTCTTCTGTCCATTCTGAGCTGGAACGCCACACCTCCTACTAGCTAACACTTTCAGGGGGCCAGACTTAACCTCCTTTTTGAGCCTTATCTATCTTGATTCTATTCAAGTCCATTCCTATTAGTACCTACTATCCTCACAGTTTTCAGTGGCAACCACTGTGGTTTCATCTTAGAACCTCACTCTTTCATCCTCTTCCAGTCATCCACTCCTTCACTAAATCTATACGTCTCCCCCAGAAGGCTAGCTTGAGTCTGCCTTCCCAAAGGCAGTTAAAGCGCTGTGGCCAAGACCCAGGCCCTGGGGCCAGACCACCAAGCACTGGAATCCTGGGTGAGGCCTTTCTGTACCTTTCTGTAGCTAGACTTCCTCACATGTAGAGTAGGCTAGGGTTGGGAGGATTTAAAGCAATGGTTGTCAACTGGGGCTTTGATTTTGCCCCCCAAGTCACATCAGGCAGTGTCTGGAGACAGTTTTGGGCTATCCACATGTAAATGGGTGAGGAGGCTAGTCATCTGGTTCACAGAGCCAGGGACACTGCTTAATGTTCTGAGATGTACAGGCCAGTCCCCCACAACAAAGGGTTATCAAGCCCCAAATGTAAATAGTACCGAGGCTTAGGAACCCTGGGGTAATGTATCAGTTCATGAAGGGGACTATTATTCCCAACTCTCATCTTCTTATCTGCTGCCGTTTGGCTGATAGTGCCAGCTTCTGTCCCCAAAACTCCTCTCATTCTAGTGCCAGCATTCTGTTGTTTAAATTGCAGCAGGCCATGCCACTACACTGCTTAATACCCTTGTTGGCTCCTTTAGTGCTAACAGAAAGAACTGGAATCTGCACG